AAAAAAAAGAATAACCCACAGAAATAGCCTGTTTAAAACCTTCTCTTTCTACCCTCCTGACACCACCCTCCATGCTCACCAAAGAAGTGGGCTTGGACAACCCCTCCTCTCATTAACATTGCCTACCTCCTTTTGGCTTCCTTCCCCTTCTAGGGATGCTCATTTGACCCTGGCTTCTCCTGGATTACACTGTTTTGAGGCATGGAAGAAGCCTTGGCCCTGGCCCGCATCCTCCCAAGGATGGTTCCCAGCTCCAGCGTCCACTTCTCTGAGCACACTCTGAAAAAAAAAAGGGAGGAAAACTGAGACATTGTGCCATCACACAATAAGGCTCACCAAAGCCTACCTCCCTGGCTCAGAAAAGCTTCAGCCTTGAATGGGGGGGGGGGGGTATACAGGGAAGCCAGCCTAGGATTTAAAGCATCTCTAATTATTACAGATTCTCTCGGGGATCTGGTGCATCATGTCTCCTTGAATAGAATCAGCTCTTGAATCTGTAATCTCATTTAATTCCCACCCTAGCCTTGGGATCTAGGTAAGAATTGATGTACCCATTTTAAGGATGAGAAAACTGATTGCCTTGCTCAATGTCCCACGTAGCAGATCTCAAAGCCTTTTTGTTATTTAGTTGTTTAAGTTGTGTCCAATTCTCTGTGACCCCATTCGGGGTTTTCTTGGCAGAGATATTGGAGTGGTTTGCTATTTCTTTCTCCAGATCATTTTATAGATCAGGAAACTGAGTCAAACAGGGTGAAGTGACTTGCCCAGGGTCGCACAGCTAATAAGTGTCTGTGGCTGGATTTGAACTCAGAAAGCTGGGTCTTCCTGACTCCTGGCCCAGCACCCTACCCACTGTACCACCCAGCTGCCCTTATTTCTTAATTAGTTATTATGTGGTTATAATAGTTCTTAATTTCTTGGCTTGTATTCCGTAGTACTAGGATTTCCCAGCTGGGAGGGGGCCCATTTGGGGCTAGGGGCTCATTCCCAGTAACATGGCTAAAGCCAGATCCACATTAGTGTCAGGAAACACCATTGTAACGTCACTCAGCAGATTTCCCACTTGTAGCACTGTCCCAACGAGAGCCTGGATTCGAATCCTTCTCTGCCACCTTCCCACCAGGATGACCTTAGAAGAGTTGGAAGGGGCAATGGAGACCCTCTGGTCCAAGCTCCTCGTTTTACACACACGGAGACTGAGACCCGGATATGCCAGGAAGTAGTGGGACTGGTCGTGTGACCATGGCCCTCAGTTTCCCCATCTGTAAAATGGTCAGGCTGGACTAGTAGCCTAGGAGGTCCCTTCCAGGTCTAGGTCGGTGATCCTGAGTGAGCAGATGGCCTCGCTTTTCATGTTTTGGTGCCTTCTTAGAGGAAGGAACTGGGCAGGGTTAGCCTAGAGAAGGAGCCTTGTGTCCACTGGGGCATGAGCCGTCTTCAAGCGTTTGGTGGATTGTTGGCCTTGTTCTGCATGGTCCAAGAAGGCAGCTAGCGGTGGTCAAAGTGACAGAGGTCAAACTGCACCCGTCAGACTGTCCAGAAGTGCTCGGGCACCCCTTCCTCCGAGGTCTCCTAGGGGAGCCTCAACGTTCACTGGTCGCTGGTACAGCCGGGGTTGGGTTGGGGAAGGTGGCTCTGAGCCCCCTCTCAGTCCTGAAATTCAGTGATTCTGTGAACAGGCAGCTAGCTGTCCTGTTAGGCTAATTTGACTTGTCGTGTTTTGGAGCACAGAGGTATTCATAAATGCTCATTGGTTGATAGAATGAATGATTTATGTTAGGTTGGGGAATGCCCATATTTGTAGTAAGCTCCCTAGTCCTTCCTGGTCTGCCTTCTGCTGCTTGAGCAGACTTGGGCCTCGAGCTAGGAAGGAATGAGGGCCAGCCACCGGGGGAGGGGGAAAGACAATGACCTTGGCTGGGTCACAAAGCCAAGTGAAAACATCTTTGGTAGTGACTCCCCCAAAACTCCTCAGCCCTCTTGGCTCGTTGCGGGGGAAGGCAGCATCTTTCTCCAAACAGGTGGGAGTGGCTCTCTGCGTATTATCTCCCCCATTTGATGGTCACACGGAGCCAAGGGGAAGGACTTGCTGAGGTCAGAGCCAAGAATAGAGGCTTCTCTCCCAAGTCCAGGCTAATGTTTTCCCTCTTAGGGTTGACTTTGGCGGCTTGTTTGGATTTCTGTTGGGGGTGGGAAGGGGGAAAGAACTGAGACTCCTGGGTCTCACGCTTTCACCACTTGGTGCTTCATTCAGCACTCTATGAATTCAATTCAGTTCACCAAGTATGCATTACGCACCTACCGTGTTCCAGGAGAGAAGAACTATGGAATAATGCAGAGAGAAGTAGCTTGAGACTTGGGAAGAACTGGGTTTAGTTTCCTGTCTCTAACACAGACTGGCTGTGTGACCTTGAGCAAGTCACCTCTTATGCCTTGGGCCTGAGTAGAACACAGAGGAGAACATTGATATTCCATCCATCAATCAACAAGAATTTATTAAACTCCTACTACATGCCTGGCAATGGGGGCATAAAGGCAAAAGTGAAAAATTCTCATTCATCCATCTGGTATTTAGGACTTTCTCAAGGGTAGGCTGGGATGAATGAGGAGAACAGAGAGAGGCCCTAAGTTGAGAGACAATGTGGTACAGTGGGAATCAGCACTGAGTGTGGAATCAGGAGATCTGGGTTCAAATCCTACCGTTTATTACCCTACTGACATTGGCCGAGTCATTTCAGCTCTACAGGCCTCAGTTTCCTCTTTGGTAAATTGAGCAGTTTGGTGAGATAACCTCAGAGATCTCTTTCCAGTGTAAGCCTCTGACCTTGTGATCCTAAGACAAGGGTCAGGAAGCTAAGAGGGAGCGCTGGGATATGGGCACAGCAGGGGCCTGGGCAGTGAAGTCCTGACCTCACAGTCGCTCAAGGGCTCTCCTGAACCCTTACTCTGGTGAGAGCGAAGCGTGTGTGACCAGGACTTCCCAACGCTGCCCCAGTATTCCTGCCATACAATTTATACCCTCTGATTTGTTTCCTCAGTCCTATCCGTGGATACCAGGCCCTGGCTTTGCTATTGAAGGCATTGGGTCTTCTCCCTGGCAGAGCCTGGGGCCACGCCAGTGTGACCTCAGCCTGAAGCTCTACCCTTGCTTGATGTGAAAGCATTTGTAAAAGCTGGGCACCCTAACGGGGAGTGGGTGTGTCCCTGTGCCTCTGAAGCGTCCTCCCCTTTGGTGGCCCTCCCCACCAGAAGCAGTGTGGCCTCTGGGGCCACTTCCTGGCACATGCCTTCACTGCTTCGGGCAGAGCAGGAGAGCTCGGCTTGGAGAGGCACCTTCAAAAGCTCTGTCCTCAAAACTGCCTTTGCTCAGCTCGGTCTCTCCACTGGTGCCCAAAGTCTGCATCTGGTCTCTTCTCTTGGAGGTCCGGATCACCACCCTAACTCCAATACACTCGAATCCAACAAGCTCGTATTAAGCCCCTCCTGTGTGCCAGGCATTGTGCTGAGACAAGAGAAAACAGCCTCTACCCTCGAGGCATGTGTGGCACTGCCTGGCACATTGGTCTGGCTGGGTCTGTGACTTCATCAGTAGAGAGAATTGCTGATGAAGGAATTCCTCAAGGAGGTGACTGAGAGGTTGGCTTGGCCAAGGTCATACACCCAGTCTGTTAGAGACAGGAAACCAGACCTAGTTCTTCCAGAATCTGAGGCTGTTTCTCTCCGCATTATTCCATAATGCTTCTCTCCCGGCACACAGTAGGTATTTAATGTATGCTTGTTGAAGACTGAGGCACTAAGTGGTGAAAGCCTGGGACCCTGGAGTCTTAGTACTTTCTGCTGAAGCCTCAGTCCCAGAGAGAATGAACTCAGGCTTGGGCTGAGCACCTCGACGCTTTAGACCCTTCACCTAGGGCCCATCCTTATGAGAATCCTAGGAGGCCCTTCTTACTGGCCTTCCTACTTCCCACCTCCACATGTTTGCACTGGCTGTGCCCTGTGCCTCGAACCCTCTCCTTCCCCATTTTTACCTCTCAGAATCCCAAGCTTCCCTCAAGGCTCAGCTCAAATGCCGCCTTCTCCATGGACCTTTCCGGATCCCCTAGAGGCTAATGCCATGGCCCCAGTCAATTTTACCTACATACATGTATATGCATATGTATTTATACACATATTCTGTATGAGTGTGTGTATATACACCTTCATTGTTTTTTCTCCCCCAGTAGATTGGAAGCTCCTTGAGGGCAGAGACTTTTGCTTTTGTCTATGTAGCTCCAGTCTTTGCACACAGCATCCTCTTAATCCATGTTTATTGATTAAATGATGATGGTATTATAGTTTTAGAACTGGAAGGGACCTCAGAGACCTTCTCATTTGACAGGTTAGGAAACTGAGACCCAGAAGTGAAGTGACTTTGCCGCAGTCATAGCGACAGAGATAGGAGATGACCCCAGGTGCTCCTGCTCCTCAGCCAATGCCCTTTGCTGCTCATTTCCAGCGAAGGGCTGCCTCTCACTGACCGCCTGATGGCCTCAGTGGTTTTCCCTAGCATGCTCTGTGTGTGTGTGTGTGTGTGTGTGTGTGTGTGTGTGTGTGTTGCTGGGGGGGGGGGCAGCACTTGTCTCACTTCCTCTCTGACAGCCTTGGCTTCACCTCCCAGAAAAGCCTAGTGGTGAATTCATTCATTGTCTATCCCAGCCCAGGTCGGGAGGGGCCCCGGGGACCGTCGTACCCACTCCCCTCCACCCTCCCTGCAGAGATGTGGGGACCCTGGGGATGGTGATGTGGGGGGGGGGGGCATCTCGGAGCCATCCCCTTCCCCTATTTCAGCTAGCCCTGCCTCCACTTCCTGAGTCAGATTGATTGTCAGACAGGTCCCCTCCCCTTCCCCCTTCCCC